TCTCTCTACAAATAATGTGTGATTTTGTGTTCCAAAGTGTTTTATTTCTTTTGCAGTTAGTATTATTTAACAGGATAAAGAAGAGGCAAAAGAGAATGACCACTTTCTTCTCCAGAAAACCAAGAGAGGAGCAATCAGCTGATCCACAACAGTCACCAGCACCAACACCACCAGCAACAACATCACCAGCACCAGCACCACCAGCACCACCAACGTCACCACTTGAAGTCAGAGAAAGCAGCAAGTCCATCTCCTCCACTGAAGTTCCAAAACTTCCTGACTGCTGGAGTTTGCAGCAATACAGAAACTCCAAGGAGAAGTATGATGGACTGGCAGTATCCGACAAAAAGTTAGGTTGTGAGTACTGTGTGAAACCTGTGTTCGCATTAGAGATAGGTATTCATGTTTCTAGAGAGTGGAAAAATTTCCAGGTTGTGGCAGCAGGGACAACTAAGGAGAATCAGCAATCCTCTCTCAGAAAAAAATGGAAGGAACATTTTCAATCAAAAGCACACCTTATTTGTAGAGAGAACAGTAAACAATGGGAGCAGGATGCTTTAATCAAATCCATAGATAAGTCAACTGACAAACATTTATCCAGTACTATCAAATTATTTTTTACTGTTTACGATCTGGCACAAAGATGCAAACCATTATCAGACATCAAAGGGCAAGTAGACGGCAATTGGAGTAGATGTGGGAGTAGGCTTGCATTCACGGAGATCCACAGTGAAAATAGTTGAATTCATTGTAAACAAAATTAAAACCACAGTATTTGCCAGCATTATTGCAAAGAATCTAAAGGTGTGTTTCATAATTGATGAAGCCTCAATGCTATTAATGAAAGCAGTCCTGACAGTTTTTGTTAAAGCTGAGGATTCAGAATGCCCAGCAACCATTTTCATTGAGCTGTTGGAATTGGAGAAACGAGATGCGGAGACCATATGTTCTGCAGCGATGGGAAGCTTACGTAAAGTTGGGTTTACCACCAAATATCTACAGAAGAATTTAATAGCATTCTGCTCCGATGGTGCCAGCGTTATGCTTAGGAGAAAATCTGG